CTTTTCAAATTGGATTGTGGGGAAAATATGATCTGATCATTATTTTACAAATGAATGTAGAAAAGATGGGGCCCAGAAGATTTCAGTGACATATCTGCAGTCACGTAGAGAATCAATAGAGAATCAACCCACACAGGATGGCAGGTAGAGTGCTAGATTTGAAGTCAAGATTTCTTATTGTTGTTTAGTCATTTTAGTCATGTGTGACTTTTTATGACCCCATTTGGGGTTTTCTTTGCAGAGATACTGGAGTGACTTGCCATTTCCTTCTTCAGTTTATTTTACTTGAGTAAACACAGTTAAGTGACTTGCCCGGGGTCATACAGCTAGTAAGTGTCTGAGGCTGGATTTGAACTCAGTTCTTCTTGAGTCGAGAGCCAGCACTCTATCTACTGCCCCACCTCACCACCCTGACAAGATAACCAAGTTCAAATTCTGCTTCTGGTGGAGAAAGAAAAGGATAGTTTAAATAGTTGCTGTGTGTAATCCCACTTGAAGAGCAGAAGGGAGTTAATGAACTCTCTAAAGAACTCCATGAAATTATACGGTGTGGACCTTCAGATGCATTGGAGGGGAAGGTGGGCATACTCACTGCCATATTCCTAAGAGAGAAGAAACTCAGGACTGGCTGAAGCTCAGGGAGACACATTCTCATAGAAAAAGTTGCCTACTATGGCATATAAAATGGAGCCATGAAACCCATCTGGATGCCCTCTCTAGCCCCCTCTCTTGCTTTTCAAGATTCCCTTTTGGTTTTTCCATTGTGCCTTCCTATGGAATGCAGCAATTGGGAGTTGGAGGGAAAGAGGATTTATCCTCTTCCACTATTTCTCAGAGCAATTAGTGGCAGAGCCACATGGCAAAGCTGCTTACGTGTGTGTGGCCTGAATGGTTAGTTTATGCATGGTGCTCCTGAATCCCAGCCTCTCCTGTGGAGTGAGGAATATCGAATTCCTTAGGCATCGTCATTCCAGAAACCAGACTTCCAGCTGGAGAAAAGAAGTTTCCTGGGCAACACCAGCTTTCGGAGTTGACTCAGATGCAACTTCAAGTTTCAAAATACCCAAGTCTGAGAATTCAAGGATCTTTTAAAGAGAGGAGAGTTCCTGATGCAGTATACTCCTTAGAGAAAGAAAAGGATAGTTTAAATAATTGCTGTGTGTAATCCTGCTTGAAGAGCAAAGTCAATGAATTATTCAGACGGTGCGTGGGTCCAATGGGAAGGTTTCAGGTGCCCCAAAGCTTATGTACCTTCTTGAGGGAAATCCATACCAAAGGAGGAGGATGGGGATGAGCAGAAGGTACAATAAATTGGGGAGAAACTGTGTATGACCTCGTGGGAAAGGGTTTCACTAGAATGTCAAGGTGCTGCTCTACTGTCTAGCCCAAATCCAGTTCCCTTACTAGGAGAGTTGATGAACTATTTGAGTGATTTATGTCTTTCTGTATCATTTGTGAACTCTTACGAGTCTTTTGACTTTTCTCCGCGGTAAATAAAAGCTGTCCCAAGCCCAATATGCACAGGTCTTTGAAAACCTGTACGGGAACCAGGGCTCTCTTTCCCTCCAGCACTTGGGAGAATCATGAGCTTTTTAGCTGATGTTCCTGGAGCGACTCCAGGTGGAAATAAGAGCAAAAGAGAAAAAAAATACGTTTTTGAGGTCCAGCCCTTAAAACTGAGCATGGCCCATGGATCCACGAAGTCTTTGTATGGGGGCTGAAGAAGGCCCTAAGGCCACATCTTAACTGGGTAACTAGACTTGGAGTTCACTGGTCTATTGTGAGGAGACTGTTTCATTAGTCAGTCAATAAACATTTGTCAATCACCTACTAAAACACTATAGGGAAGGAGGAGGGGAATGAGCACTTTTTTAAGGTACCTTAGCCAAACGCTGTACTAAGTACTTTACAAATATTATCTCATTTGATCCTCACGACAGCACTAGGAGGCAGATGCTATTATTATCCCCATTTTAGAGCTGAGGAAACTGAGGCAAATTGAGGTTAAGTGACTTGTCCCAGGCCACATAGCTAGTGTCTGAGGCCAGATTTGACCTTAGATCCTTCTAATTCCAGGCACAGTGCTGTCTACACTGTGCCACTTAGCTGCCTTTATAGAAATAAGAGTTGTTTTTATTGTCATTCATGTTGCTGGGCACATCTACAGAATCACCACCATATTGTATACCTCTGAACCAGGGTTCTGTTCATTGTCCTCCTCTCTGCCTGTCCCTCTCCCCCCATTTGCTACTTTAATATGCCTAATCTGATTGTGGCTCGAATTATTGAATTTGTCAGTGGGAACCTGAAAACACATGCTTTTTTATTAAGAAATGACTATTAAATTTCCCTTTGACTTTGACTTCCAAATAAAAAACAAAACACCATTAAGCTTAATTTTTAAGTTGATGAAACTTCCTTTCCTGTTGCTAATTTAAGTCACTTTAAGTGAATTTTGATTAATCTTTGGCTATAACTAGAGTTTGCCTTTTTTAAATTGAAAGCATTTTAAAAAACAAATGTATTGTCCTCCTAAATTATCCAGGAAGTGGGTATTCTGAGTCTAATGAAGTCTATTCTTTCCTTTCATTTTCTCTTCTTTCTTTTTTATTCTCTTCTTTCCCTTTACTTTTTTCTCTTCTTTCCTTTTCTTTTTCTTTCTCTTCATTCCTATTTTGAAAGGCTAATAGACCAGGGGAATGTTGTAGATATAATACAGCAATTTGATATATTCTTTCATGATATCCTTTTAGACAACACGGAGAGATACAGGTTTGATGGTAGTAATAATATTAATAACTGATATTTACAGTGCTTTAAGGTTTGCAAAGCTGATAGACTTGATTGGATGATCACATCCAAAGAATATTTAACTTATCAAAGCAAACCCAGAGGGAAGTGCCTAGTGAATCTGTCTTTTTCCTCATTCTGTTCAACATTTTTATCAATGACTTAGATTGGATTATTAAATATACAAATTACAAGAAGCTAGAAGGGACAACTAATACATTCAGTGTCAGAATCTGTATCCAAACCAATTTGAACAAGCTTGACTATTAGGCTGAATATAGCTTGAAGAAATTTTTTAGGGATAAATGTAAAGTCTCACTCATAGTTTCAATTTTAGTCAACAAGATGGAGAAGTCATGCTCAAATAGCAGTTTCTTTGGAAAAAATATAAAGGGTATATATTTTCGGCGTTGGGGAAATTATTTGTAATAACTATTCTTGCTATGCCATTTTACCTTTGGTAAAGATCTAAATGAGTCTACTGGCTAATTGTCATGAAGAAGAGTATCAGTGGGCTTTCTAAGCATATGTCACCAAGATGAGCTCATCTTTTCCAATCTAACCACTGTGCTGCTAACTCAGACCTTGATTAACACCACTTCCCTCAGCCTTCTCTTCCCTCTAATTGGAGGGCTGGAGGGTTGAGTCAAACTCCTGTCAATGCCTTCCTTTATAAAGTGAAGAAATTAGATTCTCAGCTCACTCCACTTTGCATCTGCAGCTCTGCCTGGTTTCAACTCCATGAAATAAGATGCCCCCTCACCAAGTGCCCCTTGTGGTCCTCTCCCTTTCCTGACTCCTTTTTCAGGTTGTCTCCTGACATTACATTGGAAGTTCCTTGAGGGCAGTAACCATCTTTTTTCTGATCAATTGTATCCCCAGCCCTTAGCACTGTTTCTGACACATAGCAGATGCTTAATAAATGAGTAATTTATTTATTAGTGTACCTGAGAATTCCCTAAGACTTTAAAGTTATTTAACAATTGCTGATCTGCTTTGGTGGAGATATATTCGTCACTTGGGAGTTCCCTATGCAAATGAAATCCCATGTCCAGGCCTCATAAATAAACAAATAAATAAATGAACACATGAAAAACAACCAAAACCCAACATAAGTCAATAGTGCAGAATGGCAGCTCAGGAAGCCAATGCAATCTCTGTGTTGGACACACCATATTTGAAGCACTGTGCCTAGTTGTGGGCATCACATTTTAGAAGTTGTTGTCATAGTTCAGTCATGTCTGACTCTTCATGATCCCATATGGGGTTTTCACGGCAAAGATACTTGAGTGATTTGCCATTTCCTTCTCCAACTCATTTTACAGGCAAACAAGGTTAAGTGATTTGCCCAGCATCACATAGCTAGTAAGTGTCTGAGGCCAGTTTTGAACTCATGAAGATGAATCTTTCTGATTCCAAGCCCAGGGCTCTATCTACACTGCACCACCTAGTTGTACCACATTTTAGAAGGGACATAGCCAAAACGTGAGGACTGAGGAGTATTGACTAGGATGGTGAGAGGACTCAACATAATAGTCACATAGAGAAAGGTAACAACAACAAAAACCACAACAACAAAAGCCAGCGTTTAAACTGAGGTTTGCAAAAAATGCTAAGGTCTGCAAGAATGCATTTGGTGAAGATGGTGTTTCTTGTTGTATTTGCTTATGCTATTAGCAAGAAGAGAAACAAGGCAGTAATAGGACCTGGATTGTAGTGACTTGGGTACTAATAGATGACAAAGAAAAAGGGCTATTTAATTGTTATCGTGCTGGTTTTCTGTAGTAAGAATAATTATCTTTGCTCTGAAAGGGATAAAATGAAGGCTTTAAGGTTTTCAGAGTGTTTTATGAATATTATCCCATTTGATCCATAACAATCCTGGGAGGTAGGTGCCGTTATTATCCCCGTTTATAGATGAGGAATCTGAGGCAGACTGAAGTTAAGTGACTTGCTTTGGATCACACAGTTAACTGCTGAGGCCAGATTTGATATCAGGTCTTCTTGATTCCAGGTTGATCAAGGAAGGAAGTAGAGTTGGAGAAGAACAGATTTAAGGGGGCATGAGTTCCCTGCTTCAGACAGCCTAACAGGGTTGACAAAGAATTCAAAAGTGGAAATAAAATTATTGCTTCAGAGCAACTGAACAGCTGTTTCATGAGTGACAAAATGACCTTTGGTATGTGACTACCATCTCTGTTTCTTTTTAGGGCTGAGTACTTCTGGCAAGATACTTGATATTTCTACATGAGAAAGGGAAATTAAGCTTTCTTCCTTCTCTCCCTCCTAACCTACTGACCTGCTTTACCTGCTTCTTTCTGTAAGTGACATGCAACCTGGCTCACCTTTTCCTATCTTCCTCCAAAACCCCATAGTCTCAAGGTCAGTCACCCACATTACTTCTGAGCTCTCTAGTGTGGGAATAAAACCTTAAGCCAATATAGTGAAGACCCTGGTCATTTCTGTTGGTATCATATTCAGCAAACATTTGTGGTGCAGCTACTATATGAATAGTAAGATTTATTTTAGGGGCCATACTTTGTTGATAATTTTCAGGGGGTGTTGAATATAGAGGTGTTTTGTTACTATAGAGTGCTATTTTAAATATAGCAATGATTATTATGACCATAAAATAGAGCTGAAAAGGACCTCAGAGATTATAGGACCATAAATTGAGAGCTGGGTCATCTAGTTCAACTACCTGATTATTCAGGTAAAGAAATTGAGTCCCAAATATGTTCTATTACTATTATAAAATATAGACATAGTCTTGAAGATGGGAACAATGAATTATTTTTCAGTTAAATTCAACAAATACTAAGTTCATACTGTGCATGTATCACTGTGTTAGGCATGGGGAAGATAAAAAGTGTAGACAAGGCTTTCTCTCCTTTAGTTGAATTTATTGTCATGATAGTTGACATTTTAATGTCTATCACAGCTAAAAAAAGACACAAATAGATGAAGATGAAAATGGAATAAGAGCCTCATTGGTGGTGCTTATTAAATCATGACTGTCAATTTTCTGTTCCCTCCTCCACATATGCAAAGATTGGAAAGGTGGACTTGGCATCAGGAAGACCTGGTTTTGAATCCATCACCAAAAGCTTTATTAGTCAGCCTCAGACACTTGACACTTACTAGCTGTGTGACCCTGGGCAAGTGACTTAACCTCATTGCCTAGCTAAAAAACAAACAAAAAAAACCCCCAAAAGCTTATTAGTTGTGTAATCCTTGGCAAGTCGCTTAATTCCTCTGAACCTCAGTTTCCTCATTGCTAAAATGGGGATAATAATAATAATAATGATACCTAATTCACAGTATGGTGAGAACTAAATTTTCAGTCAATATAGTAGGGACGCCAGTCATGTCTGTTGGTACCATATTCAACAAATATTTATGGCACATCTACTGTAGTCACCTTACTGTAATACTTGGTTTTAATGGCTGAAAAAGATAACACAAATAGATGAAGATGCAATTGGAATAAGAGTGTTGTTGGTAGTGCTTGTTAAATCGTGACACTCATGTTTCTGTCCCATCTTCCAAATATGCAAAAATTTTGTTGAAATTCAGCTCTTCCCTGATGAGGGTGAGGGGAATGATTTCTGGAGGTCAGGTCCCAGATCCAGAGGATGACAGTTCCAGGATGGGGGAAGAGGGCTGTGGCAGAGGGAAGGGATGAATGGTAAGATGCCTGGCTAGGACTATTTTCCTGGTGGAGGATGTCTTTCTTCATTTGCCTCCAAGCTGTCTAATGGGTCTGTGTGATCTGGGGGTAGGGCTGTAGATCTGAGCGAGTTCTGTGCCTGGCTCCCCAGGCCCCAAGGCCACAACAGCTGTCCACAGCCTCTTGGCTAGCCCTGCCCTGCTTCCTTTCCCACTGCTGCTTTCTCTGTCGTGCACGTTGCTGTTGGGCTCCCCTTCCTGTAACCCCTCCCAGATCAGTGTGAGCCTTCCCTTCTCCCAAGCAGAGGAAGAATGAAACTGGCAGATTGCCAGGAGCCCATTCCTCTGGAAGCACTTCCCTCTTCCTGGACTGACCTTGCTGCCTGGACCCACTGAGGACTGCCCTGCTGGAGATTCTATCCTGCATGTCCCTGGTCTGTCTTGGGTAATGGGACACACATGCCATCTGTGTTCCCATGAAAAGGAGACCCTAAAAAGGTCCCCACTTCCAGGAAAATAGGTTCTGCCTGTCCCTGTTTATAGCCTGGGGCCTTGGTGTACCCCCTTTCTGTCTTAGAGGTAGAAAGAGGCATGAAAGACATACCATCTAACTTCCCTCCATGCTGAGGCCCTATTCCTGGGGAAGCAGGATCTGCTTATTTTGTTCTGTGGGGAGAGAGGGGGACTTGGATGGTGAACCTGGGCCAGGAAACACAGGAGGAAGGCTGGTTGTGGTGAGTATAGGGATGAAAGGACTGAGGTATATTGAATCCAGAAGGATTAATACTGCCTGCCTGGGGAGGGGCACCCATAAATTATCTGGTACAGCCTCCATTGGGTTTTGGGGAGAAGGGAAAGAGATTAACAAAAACTTCCACTGGCTGCCAACTGGGCTGAACAACTGTGCTCTCCTCAGTTTGAACATTTCCTTTGTGTACTCCAATGGATGAAATTCCCTACCCCATGGGGTACATATAGAGAGAATATTGAACTAAGGAGCAGGAAAATTGGGTTTGAATTCTGGCCCCCAGTACCTATTAGCTATGTTGCCAGTAACAAGTCACTAACTTCTATAAAATGAGGATAATAATGTTTGCGTTGTTTTCTTTGAAGCATTGGACTTTATAAATCTTGAAGTGTTATATATAAATGTGAGTCATCATCAAGGTCCCTTCTGGCTCCAATAGTCTACAGTCCTATGACACAATCTCCTAGGGAACTTTGGGACTGTGTGATAAAAGCTAACTGGGGTCTTACACTTGTCTGTTCACTCAGCCCTGAGCTGCATCTCTGGAAGGAGGGTCATGGCACTGAAGTCAAAACAGCTGTTTGGCTCACTGCATTCTATTCCCAACTAAACTTCCTGCCCCTTTTAGTTGCCCAGGAGGGGACCAGGGGAAGATAAAAAGCCCAGAGTGATAAGAGCTAAGACTGGATGGATGTTGGACTCTTGATACTCAGTGCTTAGGAATTTGTCATAAACAAAGGAGGAGCAGGGTGGGGCCACAGGACTGGAGAGAAATGGAAATGGGGCTTGGAGGAAACATTCCACATTTGTCTGATTATAGTTAGCCACGTCACTAAAATAATACATCTTTGAAAGGAAGAAAAATATATAGGTACACACTGGGGGAGAAAAACAAACAAACAAAAAAACTCTATTATAGACCATACCCTGGCTTTATAGAAGCTAGATTTGGAAGGGAGGAGGGGGCAAGGGATATAGCCTATATTTGGCTCAATGAGGTAATTGGTGACATTGCTGATCTGCCTCTCCTTAGTGTCCCTAGCCTCACCCTATGCTTTAACACTGGGCCTGAGAAGGCATCTGGGATATCGCTGATTCAACTAACACCTGACCTTAAAGAAGGAAATGGAATAGCAGGAAACGAGAACTGCAGGGAGCAGTTCTGATTACATTAGCTCAGGATACTATCATCTACTGGCCACAGCTGAGCATGGTGATCCTATCTTATCTGGGCAGCTCATTCACATAGTGCTGAGTCACTCGGGGGCTGGAAGCACCACCACAGATGGAGGGGGAACTCTCCTACCCAGGACAGAGTGGCACAGAGTGAAGCTATGGTGAGCACAGAATAGCAGATAGAACAGAGAAAGAGAAGGGACGAAATGCACTCTTCAATCATTCTCCCTATTGGGTCTCCCTGTTCTGAGGGTGAGGGTTGCTGGGTCAGCAAAGAAGTTAAATTTGCCTATGTCTTCAAAATACTAATTTCAGACACGTAAACAAAAATCTTGTCAACTTTATATTGCAGAAAGTATAGCAAAGTGTTTTTTTCCTAAAGTGCTAGTCTGACTTTGCCAATCTCCTACTCATTAAACTCCAATGCCTCCCTATTATATCTATAGCTAGGGGTTACTTGCCTTGGTATATGTATCTGATGCCTCTCTCCAGGCTCACTCTCCAAGGTCTTATTCACATTGTTAGGTTTGGTCCCCTGAGCATGGCTGACTATATCTCCCCTTAGTGTTCTAGAGGAAACCCCAAAGGTCTAGTGGGATTTCTCTAGGTTCATTTTTCATAAGCCCCCATCCAGTGTGTTCTCAATATCAACCACCAGTAATTATAGCCTTGATATAATTTTGATCAAGTGATCCCTCTTCAAGATCAATTAATTATCATCAAGTATTTTTTACAAAGGGTTATTTACTGAGGAAGTGTAGCAGTAATCAGAGCACAAATATGTTTCCCTAAACCAGGGCATACTCTTTTTTACATATCTACTCAGTTCCTGGGAGAATACCTTTAAAGTGGTTACTACACAGCATTCCCCACACTGCCTCAATAAATTCTTTTCTGGGTGAAGCACGGGGCAGCTAGGTGGTGCAATGGATAGAGCACTAGTCTTGGAATGAAGAAGCTTCATCTTCATGAGTTCAAATCCAGCCTGAGACACTTACTATCTGTGTGTCCTTGGGCAAGTCACTTATCCCTGTTTACCTCAGTTCCTCATTTGTATAGCGAGAAGGAAATGACAAACCACTCTAATATCTTTGCCAAGAAAACCCCAAATGCGGTCACTAAGGGTTGGATATGACTGAAACAACTGAATAGTACAGAACAGTGCAGTGAGGTACAAGAATGGATAAGTCACTTCCTCACTTATAGGACACAGTTTCTCAGTTGCAATGTTGATCTATTCCTGGTGACTCTTCTGACCTTTTGAAGCTCACAAGATGGTAGCATAGTCCATTCTGTCTCTGACAATCTTCACATCACTAGAAAAGATTAAACACAACACAGAGAGAAGAATAGCAATGCCAAGCATTCATGGCCATATGGCAGCCAGATGAGAGAGGGCTCTCGGCCCTTCCCCCATGGAGAGGCTCACAAAAGCTCTTGCCTCACCCAGCACAATGGAAAAAGGAGTTTCTATTGTTTGTTTGAGCTTTTTATATGCATGCTCAGTTCTGGCTCTGAAGCCAGTTAAAAGGCTTTTCATCCCCACACAGTAAACTGACAAGAAGCAATTTTAAAAAAATGTGTGTGGGGAGGGGGCGGTATGGAATGGGTAGGGGCTACAGGTATACATACCTGGAGACAGGCTCACAGGCTTCCACTGGACATATCACATAAGGTAAAGGATACTGCACATATAAAAGGACTGGGATCTCATTGGCCAGTCCTCC